GCAGCCGCTCCCCTGCCCGGCCAAGGTTTGCGGCTGCTGCAATTTGGAGCCGCTCTGACCTGTGAAACGGTGACCTTTAGAGAAGTGAGCAGGTTTCTGCTCCTGGCTGCTGGCAGCAGCGCTGCCCCTGCTGCAGCTGGGAGAGGTGTGTCCTGCAGGTAGGGATGCTCCGTTCAGAGCTGCCCTGAGCCCCCCTTAGCTGGGTTCCTGTGTGGAACCGGGGAAAAGACAAGCTCCAAAATGCCAGGAAGCAGCTCTGGCTCCTTCACTACTTTCCACCTCCTCCCAGGGTACCACTGCAACCTCAGTTTCTTTCCTTCCTGGCTTGATCCAGCCCCTTCCCAGTGCTTCCTAAAGCTGCTTGACACCAGCCTCAAATTACTCCATCACCCTGCAGCCCATGTGTTGGGGTGTTTAGGGGACTGTTCCTTATTGAAAGCCATCCTTTGGGCAGGACAGGGCTGAAGAGGGTGAGTTATCCCCTCCCTGGCAGCCTCTGCTGTGGCCAGGAGTGTGCAGAGCCTGGGATGGTGGGCACAGGGATCTGGTTTGATTTTTCTTTCCCCTATCAGGCTCCTGACCCAGTTCAGGGCAGGAGCTCCAGCATCACCTGCCATGGGGAGCAGATCTGGGCTGGGGTCAGGACCCTGTCCCCCTGCATGTGTGTAAGTGCGTGTGCATGCACACTCAGGAGCGTGTCCTTTGGGGTTTGCACAGCACATTAAAGCTATTCCCTTATCTAATCACAGCTCAGGTGAGTGCTATTAGGGTTATACATTAACTGTGGTAACGATACCCTCTCCCCACGCAGCCAAAGGCCCTGCCTTGATCCCAAAGCTGAAGCTGTTCCCACTGGCCCCACAAATGGCTCCATTTGGCTGTCTGAGAGGTTCCTTTGCCTGCTCTTTTGGGGACAAGCAAAAGGGGCTCTAAATGCATGGCATGGTTGGAAGGGGCTAGCAGCTGTGCCAGGAAGCATCACCAGCACCCCCTTTGCCCCTGGGCACCCTCTCCATGGCACGCCATGTAGCAGCAGCAGCAGCAGCAGCAGCAGCTCTGGACCATCCTGGTCCCCAGACAACCCAATCCTCCTCCTATGGGCTTCTCTGGAAATGTGGGAGCAGCTTCATCCCTCTGTTCAGCTGTGCTCCCCACTGTAGCTCAGGGGTTTCCCCAGAGGTACAAGGGCTCTCTGTAAGGAGCTGGGCTGGCTCATCCCAAATTTCCTCTTTCCTTTCACAGAGCTATAAAAAGTCTCCAGGAGAGAGTTAAGTGTAACCCAGCATTCACATTCAAGGTAGCTGAATTATTCATTGTCAATAGTATTTCTTGCAAATCCTTTTCTTTTCCTTGTGAATCACCCACATTACATTCCTGAATTCAGCAAACATCCCCAAAACCCTCAATTAGTTGAGATGAATAGTTTTCCATCTCTGGCTTGGTCGTGAGCCCTCTGCTTTGGGAATTTTCTACCTGATTTTGGGCAGTGAGATGCTCAGTTCACAGGGTGCTGGCTCACCAGCACAGCCAGTGATCTGCCAGACCTGAGGCAGAGCAGAGGCTTCTTCAAGGATGAACAGTGAAGAAGGAATAACAAAGAACAAGCAGTGATGGA